TGAAGCCAATTGTCTCTCTAGAAACTTTTCCCTTTCTCGTTGAATTGTCTCTCCAAATGGCGGTTACGTTTGGTGGGAATGGCGGTTGTCAATAGCGAATGGCAAAGGCAATGGACCTGGAGGGCCGAGGAAGACTCCGATACTTGTTCTCGGATGTTCGTTGACTACAACCAAATCTCCTACAGCACATTTGATTTCTCAGAAAATGCCTGTAGTACCATTGGTGGCTCCAGAGGTTGAATAACAAAGGTTGAGAAATGATAATGGTAATTTTCCCTAAATTACCAATCCTCCTCCTCGTCGTTGAATTGGATTGTGGTTCGACCAAGTCTGGTAATGGAATGAAAAGTTTGATGATTGATTGTGCTGCATCAACATCGATCGTATCGACCGTTGACCAAATTCAACCAAACGCACCTGCCGAGGCTAATTTCTGAGGCTAATTTGCAGAAATTGACAGCTAATAAGGATCCAGTAGCTCCAGCGTGGGTTAATTTGTTTGCTAAAAACTGTATGGCTTCAAACGGGCTTGCTCTATCTTACATTCCACCGACGATCGTGGGCGGTAATGTGGTTATTCAATTGGATCCCCTGGAGACTGTGAAAGAGGTTGATAAATGGAAACACTCATTGATAGTAGCTGTGATTGGTGAAATCCCGGGCTATAATCAAATGAATAGGTATATTTCTCAGAATTGGTCGAAAGCCCCATATTCTGAACTGTTCTGGCATGACAAGGGTTATTTTATAGCAAAATTCAAAGATCAAGATGATCTCAAAGAAATATTATACGGAGGACCATATACAATTAATAATAGGCCTATAATTTTGAAGAAGTGGTCTCTAGACCTAGAATTTGATACAACTTTCCTTAAAGAGATACCTCTATGGGTCCCCTTTCCTAATTTGCCTATGGTGTTTTGGGGAAGATACTCATTGAGCAGATTGGGTAGTGCTATTGGAGTGCCCCTATTTGCCAATGAATGTACAGCTAACCAATCAAGAATCTCCTTTGCCTGGATGCTGATTGAAGTGAAAATAACTAAGCCTCTACCAACTGAAGTTACAAGATCCTTCAGTCAAGATATATCACCAAGCTGTTAGGTTTGAATGGAAACCTGAGTTTTGTTTAGCCTGTCAACAACTTGGGCATGTGTGTAAAGTCACGGAGGAAGCCCAAGGTAAACCTCAGAAAATACAACGGATGAATGACAGATTTCATCAGCCAGCTAAGGAATGGAGATGTAAGGGAAGTGTGCAACAGACTATGAATAAGTCTCAAGAACCAAATGCTCAACCGACTGATGTTTCTAAAGCATCATGTTATGTTCACAATCCAATAGTCTCTAAAGAGCAAGTTGAAGTCCCTGTCAAGTCCGCTGAAAAATCCCATGATCAACCAAATATTCAAACCACTGCTAGTATACAGACTGGGGATCATAGTAATAGTGTTTCCAAAGGAAACAAATGGTGTATCAGCTCCTAGGAGGTCTGCAGATGGTATGGCTCTCTCTATTGCTATGAAAAATGTATTTGGAGCGTTATAATCTGGAGGTCAAGAGGTTATAATGCATCCATCTGATAGAGGTGGTACCTCAGACCCTTCTAAATGACACTGCTCAAGTGGAATGTGAGATGGGCAAACTAGAGATATAAGCAGAAGGAATTGGCTAAATACTTAAAAGACAATCATATTACCTTAGCAGGTTTGGTGGAGACTAGAATTAAACAATATAATGCTTCTGCTATTGCCCCTAAAATTGTACAAAACTGGGAGTTAGTCCATAATTATGATCATGGTGTTAATGGAAGAATTTGGGTGCTATTCAATAGAAACGTGTGGCATATGGATGTGGTACAGATTAGTAGTTGTAATTTCAATTGTGCTCTAACTGTGGTGTATGGATATAATAGTTTAGAAATGGGGAAGGATATGAGGCAAAAGCTCAGAAATCTTGCTCAAACTATAAATCAGCCTTGGCTATTATGGGGTGACTTTAATGCTATTATTACTGCTCAGGACAGACTATAAAGCATACAGTGACTCAAGCAGAAGTTCAAGATTTTGCCAATTTCTGTTCTGATGCAATGATCTCTAAACTTCCTTAGAGATGAGAGTTCTTTACATGGACAAATGGGCAAATGGGGGAGGACAGAGTAATTAGCAAGATTAATAGAGCATTGGGGAATGATATATGGATGCTGAATTTTGGTCATCTGATTGTTGAAGTTGGGGATCCATTCATCTTTGATCATACACCACTACTATTGAAGTTTCAAAGAAGAAATAGCAATATCAAAGTGCCTTGCAGATTTCTTAATGTTTGGGCTGAACATGAAGAGTTTTAAGAATTGTTACTGAAGGATGGCATGGTGCTCATCATTCTTGCAAGTTAGCTACTATCTGGTACAGGCTAAAAGCTATGAAATCAGATTTTAAGCTGTTAAATACCAAAGAATTCAAAAATGTGACAGAAAGCTAGCCAAGCGAGGAGTGGCCTGATGGCTAGAGGCTACTCTGACCACTTGAGAATTATGGAGAAAGATGCTATGTTAAGATTAGAGAAATGGTCACTTATTGAAGAAAAGATACTTCAGCAAAAATCCAGAGCTCATTCGATTGATGTAGGAGATGGAAATAACAAATACTTCTTTGCTATGATGAAAGATAGAGCCTGCAGGAAAAATATTACAACCTTAACAACTCTAAATGGTGAACTACTAGCTGAGCCTAAGAATATCAAGAAAGAAATTGTTAATTTTTATAAGTCCCTTATGGGTACTGCAGCTGAATCTTTACCTGCTGTGAACATTCAAATCCTAAAAAATGGTCCTCAACTTACTCATCAACAATCAATGGATTTGGTTAAGGCAGTATCTGCGCAGGAAATTGATGAGTGTTTACATGTTATTGGTAATGATAAAGCTCCAGGCATTGACGGGTACAATGTTGTCTTTTTGAAGAAAGCATGGGGAGTTATTAAAGAAGATGTCTATGGAGCAGTGTCTGAGTTTTTTTCTACTGGTGTGATGCCACAAGCCATTAACTGTACTACAGTTACATTATTGACTAAGATCACCAATCCTAATACCATCAAAGACTACAGACCTATTTCATGTTGCTCTATGCTGTATAAGATCATCTCCAAAATCTTAGCTTCAAGGTTGTAGAAGGTTATAGGATCTCTGATAAATGGTGCTCAAGCAGGTTTCATTCCAGGAATGAAAGGGGCTGACAATATCATCTTAGCCCATGAGTTGATTAAGGCTTATTCAAGGAAGCACATATCACATAGATGCATGATTAAGGTAGATCTACCAAAGGCATATGACAGTGTAGAATGGAGTTTTTTGTTACAAGTCAAGGATGATCTAGGATTCCCCTATAAATTTACCCAATGGATATTATCGCGCCCTGTTTTCTCGCAAAAGCAGGTTTCGACATATGACAACTCTTTTAAACGGGTATTAAAAGAGAAGAGTCGCCACCTGACGGTTTTGAGTTGAGTTAGGGCACCTATTTAACTCTATTTTATCTAGTCTATGTCACCAAATAACGGGTAAGGACTCAAATTACCTCAAAGAGAAGGTGTTAGGCACTCTTCGAGGTCTACAACTGTGGTTCCCGGCCGAATTTTACACTATGTGCGGATTGTTGGATTATAACTAACTTACGTGAGCATGTCAATTAAAAGAGAGTAGAGAGTTCAAATAACTAATTAATTGTTCAAAGCGAAAATATGACGAAATAATTGATTAAGAGGAATTATACACAAGTGAAATAAATAACGTGTCCCCTAATAAGTAATTGGTACAACTCTTTGAGAATTACAAGATACATCTTAGTCCAATCTAGGCTTCAATAAGCAAATGTACAAGAAATAATCGTATACAGGGGGATCCTAAATTTTTTAGCCTAAGGGATCACCCCATGCAACATAAATAATACTTCGAAACTTTCCTAAGTATAAGGGTTGCTCATATTATTCAGCGAGCACAAACTATCATCTCCTGCTACCCGATTACTATCTTGAAGTTGTTTACCTAAAGCGCACTAGTTCAATTTTAAGTCGCGTCCTATGTGTGCTTTACCATCCCATGCCTATGGCCCAAGAGATTTTGGACCTACTATGTGGGTGGTTCTACACTCACCTAGGCTGCTTAAAAATGAGAAAACTAAGCGTCACACAATCGAAACAAGTAGGACTTCACACAAACTGCAAGTAGCACAAAAGCTCAAGCTTACCTCCTCATATAGACACATGCACACGATCAAGTAAACGAACAATTGTTACTCAAGTTAACTATGCTTAAGATTAGGTGGACGGGTAGTTATAAGTAGGCAGATCTGGAAATAGAGCATGTTGTGCCGTTTAAAACCTATAGGCATGATGTCTAGACAATTAAACTTGGACGAAACAGTTGAGTAATCGTTAATTCTTATTGTTTTTAATCCTATATCCATGGTTTCTAAGCGAGCAGATACAATTAAACAGTTTCAACAGTCAACATAGAGTCCTATCACTACTACAAAAAAGGCCTTTGGCGGCAATACAAAACGGCTTTAGCGGCAATAACAAAAGCCGCTATATCTTTTACCGGCCATTAGTGTTTTGCCACTGATGCCGGGGTCAGCAAAGCCTTTAGCGGCGTTTCTAGTAAAAGTTGGTAAAAAGTGTGGTTTATTGCCGCTAAAAATTATTATCTTTAACGGTAATTATTGGCGGCAATTATAATGGCTACTAAATTCAATCCAAACTAAAAGTCACAAGCGATAATAGCAATAATTTAGCCACAATTAATAATAGTTACTACATTTGTATAGAATATGACCCAAAAAAAAATATTAATATTAATTCAAAATTAACATAATATATCTTATTAAATCTTAACAAACAAAAGAAAGTACTAATCAAAAATATTAATATCACAGTAAATTAAAACATAAAAACATATTGTTTGGACTAAATAGCTAATGTCATCATATTACTAATCCAGACGAATGATGGTCTTCAAATGATTTCCGCAACTTTTCATCATTTTGAAATCTTCCAACCGCTAAATTATCGAACATCAGACTGTATGACCTGAAATTATAAAATAATTGTGTTAAAGGACAAAGTATAATATGAAAAACATCTTGAAGATTCCATAACCTTAGATTCCATTATACAAAAAAAAAAAAAAAGAAGGAAAAAAAGTAAAAAAAAACAAAGAAAGCTCTGTAGACATCAGCCATTGTTCTTGTCTGATCAATAACCTTAGCACAAATGTTTGTATTTCTGATTCAAGAATATATAGAAGAATACCAATCACTGAAGAAAACAAATCATTTTTTTTTTTTGGTTGTTGAGCACTTCATTTGTTTGGTAGTGGTACAGTGGCAGTGTTATGTAGAACTGCCCAGCCTTATCTTTGCTCCTAGTTGATATGTATGAACCATGCAACTTTACTAGGTCAACACTAGGGTTAAGTATCACTTATACATAGGTTGTCATGGGGTTGTGATGGCAGCTACTTCTTTCTGTTATACTGGATGAGGAGTTCCATGCCTTCTTAACCTTCTGAACCTAGAAACAATATACTTTTTAGTTTCTCTCCAGTTCCGTTTGGAAGTTGCTATTACGTTTCAGATTCTGCACTTAATCTCTATATTTCAGTTGCTATTAAAGCAGATTTTCGAACCTTGAAATCCAGCCACTCCATTCAAGCACATTATAAATAGATACTTGAAACTTATGTGGCTAACAAGCATGCCATTTTACCTCAAATGCCATCTAGATATAGCACAATTGAATGATTGGATACGGTATACTGACAGGAGGAAACAAAGGAATGGAGAGGCCACATTGTAATTGTCTGTTGTTAAAAGAGTGGAGAAAGTTTCATTCATCAATCTCTCATCATCCATGACAGTTGTTCTCTTTATACTTGAAGGTCCATTATTTTAGATTTGATCTTTTGCATTGTATTATTTGATCTAAGTACCAAAATCCAGATATTGAAGCAACAGATGTTGTAGGCAAGACTTCAATGTAGAAAGGATCTGAATTACATGCTCAACCTGCTACTGCATCTGTTGAGCCAGCTGAAAAATCAGTTATGGTGGAGAAGCACGAATAGGAGTTACGAGGGGAAAATCCCAAGTGCAATGAGCAGACTGCTAAGCTAGGCACGAACACTTCTCATATTGTAGCTACATGTGATGGTGAGGTGAATTTAGGTGAGGTCGTTGCTACAACAGCTGGGCAGTATACTAAGGAGGTAAAAATAACTACTGTAATAGGTACACCAAATGCAGCTGCTACTATCGAAGCTGGTGCACAAACAACTTGTTTGGAAGCTGCATCTGTTTACTAAGGCTTGTCGGGAAATGCATCCCGCTACAACATATGATGTGCCCACTTTGTCTCTCTATTACCAGAACAGATATCATCCACAGGTTCTTTGTCAATCTTCATCTTTCCTTACCAAAAAAACCCCCAAAAGAAGCTCAAAAAGGACAACTGGAACAGTCAGGAAAGTGTATTAGCTTCCCTTCAAAATGTTTATACAGAGGTAACCAATCCCAAAAGCAACCTGTCAGGATGCTACTAGAAAGGAAGCTGCCTTCACACTCTAAGGTGCCAACTCTGCCCAAACACGTTCTAAAGCCGAGATCAGAATACACATCATTAAGCTAACAGAGACTTTGTCTGGGGAAAATATGATGCTGAGAAGATTCTATGTATCGATCCAGATGATACTTCAGCCTATATCGTATTGTCTAATATCTATGCGGAGTTACAAATGTGGGATGAAACGGCCAAGATGAGAAAGCTGATAAAGGAGAAGGCATTAAAGAAGCAGCTGCCCTGTTTGTAATATATCGTAGCATTATACTCGCTAGCAAGTCATCTGCCATGTGTGTTACCTTACAGATCTTATTGGTGCTTCAAATGGCCTATGAAGACCTCACTTTCATGACTGCTATTTCATTATCTATTGCTCTCTTATTTGATTGTTGCCTTTGTCATTTTGCATTAGGCCTTGCAGGTCATCTGTGCATTATAACATATTGTAGCATTATACTTGCCAATGGACTTTTATTTCTTATGTAAATGGTACTAATACTGATAAAGTTACAATCGAATTATGGAAGCATGTAAGTCGAAACTATATCTTGTTTCCATTTCTTGCAAGTTTACATGAAATCAGATTCTAATGATAAAAAAATTGGAGGAAAATTCAAACAATAGAAAACTCAAATAGTAGCACCGAAGGATAAAGATGAGTAGTACCGTGAGACAGTGAAGTATTTTCAGCAACACTAGGTATCCTTGATAGATAACAATACTTTTATAGGATTGAAACTTCATTAAGAATGTCTATAACTTCTGAAATCGAGTTACCTGTTCACTTGAGGTGCCATTGATATTTTGAGGCATAGATTCATTAGAAACATATTTGCGCATCAATTGTCTCATTTGGATTAATTCTGATTGCATCTTCTCCTGATTTTATTTCATCAGATTCATTTCTTCATTGTGTTTATCCTTTAACTCAGTTATCTCCTGTGTTAACCTTTGTACGGCCTCATTAGACGAATTAACCTTTGTACGGCCTCATTAGACGAATTAACCTTTGTACGGCCTCATTAGACGAATCCTCTGCAACAATATTTCCTAAGGAAGATCTACTACCCCATAGCACAGAAGGAGTTGGACCAAGTCCTAAATCACGAACATACCCACTTTTGTCATTTCCGAACACCTGGGAATACACATCGCCTTCCCAAGCAACACTGCGAGGAGGTTGATCAGTAGAGCTGTCACTATTATTCATCCTTTCATTTATAATTTCCTGACCATAGAATACATAAATCCAAGTTGGAATTCATTTATTTGATTTTATGTTTTTTTCTAAACTATTTCCCAATTCATAAATTTAAATAAAAAAAGAAATCTTACGATTGCCTTCGCAGAATCATCATCCAGTGGTCTACCATCCTTACATTTTGTATGAGTTAATAAGAAAACTTGTGCTCGTGTAGGCCCTACTCCATTTACAGCCTAATACAATAAAATTGATGTCAGATAAAAAGAATTTTAAAATATTATAATTAGTAATTTTTACAAGTTTACTTGCTCATCCATCAAGGTAGCAATACTTTTGGATCCTCCTATGTGAGGCATCTTTTGATTGGCCCTATTGTTTCTATTTGCTTGGGCACGCCTCAGTCATTGAAATATATATCTTATAAATTATAAATAAAAATTGAGCATAACTAAAATCAAAACACTAAAATATAATCAAGTAGAGGTGTTTAAGGATTTGTTAATACCTTAGCTTTATCTGAAAGCCAATAGGAGACAAGACCACTCCATTGATCCCTCGGTATGCGACTTGGTCTATTTTTCAGCAAAGCGTCTTTAGTCTTATATTTTGGCAGATATTCACCTTTTAAATCGCACTTGTAATCTTTCCATTTCTTTCCTAGTGACTTTAGGACATAAGCTTCTCCCCGTCTTGGGATAGAGAACTTCTAAAAAAAATAAAGCCAACATTCAGAAGAAAATATCATGTATAAAAGATTGAACTCGTTCATATAATAATAATAATAATAATAATAACAACAACAACAACAACAACAACAACAACAACAACAACAACAATAATAATAATAATAACAACAACAACAACAAAAAATAAATTATCAAGTGATAATACCACCTTAGCATATCACATTTAAATGGATATAATAAGCAAAATATAAGTAAAAGAAAGCACAACTTCACTCAAACATCCAATATCAAATTTCTGAAGTAAAAAAATAACACCCTTGGGAGTTCTTAAATAACACTTGCAAAAAAATTATTCTATAAGTTCCACCTATTTTATTCAGAATCACATTCATTTTCTATGTCATTTCCTCCCTCAACATTAGCTTCACCATCATTTAGAGAAGCTTGAGAATGTACGTTTGTATCAATTACTATTCCATGGACACCACTTCTTACCCAATCATTATAATCATCTTCTAGAACACGAACATTTTCTAAAATAGCTAAGTCAGTGGCATCACTCTGCGTTGATGACTCAAGCTGCACATTATTTTCTTCCCCCATATTAAAAATGTCTCGAGGTTTAATTAACCTAGGGACAAACCATTCATGATCTTGAGGATCTTGCACAAATATTACTTGTTGAGCTTGTTCTGCAAAAATAAAGGGCTCATGACATTCTCGATCGCCAGAGTCTGTCAGGTGTGAGAAATTCACAAGTGTGAAACCCAAGTCGTCTTCCTTAATTCCTCTACCAACATTTAGTCGTCTTCCTTAATTCCTCTACCGGAAAATATATCAACCCAATCACACTTAAATAAGGTAACCTTAAATTTTTCATAGTAGTTTAACTCCACAATATCATTCAATCTGCCATAATATGTGATATTTGCAGATTTTGGAGCATTGTCACTTGTGCTTGCATAACTTTCAGTCTTTGAAACGACCATAACACTACTATTTTGTGTCACCTTGAACTCTTCACTTTGTTTTGTTCGGAATCGATAGCCATTATTTACATCAAACGCACTAAATCCTTTTGTAATGTAACTCGGCCCTCGTGCAAGGACTTTAACATCCTTTAAGATGTTAGATGTAGCTTCCAACTCCTTTACCTAACCAAATAAAAGATACAATTGTAAATATGGATATCTGTACAAGGACAATAATTTAATGTAACCAATGACTTAGTCCTACTACTTACTTGCTCTTTGAACCACTCGTGGAATGTATCGAAATGCATACGGTCAAGTTGATGTTGTGTCAAACGACGCTTATGATGTGCTCTTTTGATTTCAGCAATATGTTCCCTATTCACGTAACTCGCATATATCAATTTTGTTATCAAATAAGTAATATACATAAATTAAATAATAGATATAATACTTACTTTTTATAATTCTCAACCACTTCTGACTCACAATTGAAAAGCACATGCCGATGTGCTTGCAACCATGTTTTCTCATCTAACTCAAATACATCTACTCCACCGTACGACTCCCCAACAATAGGAAAAAGACATTATTCTTTACTAGTCTCATGCTTAATCTCATCACTGCATGTTCATGAACAATAAGACCTTGAATCTTGTAACGACCCGACTTGTCGTTTTAAGAATTTACGACCCGTTCAGTGACTTAAGGTCTCGAGCAGCTTCGTAATATGTATTATGACTCGCAGGTGTGGTCGAGTTTGGTTTTCGAAAGATTCGGGATTAAATTGAAAGAACAATTCTCATTTTTGAAGCTTAAATGAAAAGAGTTGACCAGAGTTGGACTTTTGAGTAAACGACCCCAGAATAGAGTTTTGATTATTCCAATAGTTTCATATGGTGATTTTGGACTTAGGAGTATGTCCGAAAAATTATTTGGAAGCCCGTAGTTAAATTAGGCTTGAAATGGCGAAAATATGAAGTTTAAGTTGGAAGTTTGACTGGGGAGTTGACTTTTTGATATCGGGGTCGGAATCCAGTTCTGAAAATTTTCATAGGTCCGTTATGTCAGAAAAGGCATGGTTTATAAAATCATCTACTCCATCCAAATATTCTTTACTAACTCTATCACAATGCATCCATCTTTTATTTCTAGGATTGTCCATGACGTTCAAGATATTCTTTTCTTTTCTACACTTTACTGCAAGAGCTAAAAATTCGTTAGTAAAAAGAGGGAATTAATCAAAATGTAGTAAAATAACCATCCTATTAGTATGTAATTCCATAGCTCAAAGATTATTGTACAACAAAGAACAAAGTTCTGGATATACTCGTTTATCTCATTCTTCTCTTCTATCTCTTCTCAGTTATTCGACAATAGCTGTTTTGTTCAGTTTTTCTTTTCTCGATTCAGTTTTCCAGTTTGGGACCCAACAAATCTTGTTTAAAATTATAAAAAAAATTTAATACATAAAGTCATTCTCTTATGGTAAAGAGAATCCAGTCTTTCCTGGTCTCATAGACCTCAATGATATACTTCAATTTGTGTGAAAAAATTAGAATTTGATCATTGTGCTCTCCCAAAATTGGGAATAGTACACAAATGTTTTTCTCAAACAAGGGAATCATTCCTCTATAAAATTTTTTATCTTTCTCATGTATATGAAATTGAAACCAACAATTATGCAAGAAATCAGAAAGATGGCATCATTAGCTGAGCCTGAGCATATTGTCGGCTGCGTGAAGCAAATGATCAGACACCAAGAAAGCGCTCTAAAAACGACGACAAGATAGTTGAATTACTCAATATCAGATATGTAAATGTTTGTGCAGAGAAAGGCAAAAAATAGGCAGTTGGCTGATGCTAGTGATAAAGGGAGTAAGGGACTAACTCTATGGATGATTATTACACTACTGGAATCACTTATTTTGTACCTTGAGCTGCAAATTAAGAGAGGAAAAATCATCTATGTTGTTGTACAACAAAAAACAGTCTTGTTCATCTTCAATCTCAAACTAGTTAGGGTCAGCTACATGAATCCTAAGTCTATGTTTTCGCTCCATTTTGACATGTTTCATTCGGATACTCCATTAGATCAGAGTTCTCCAAAACTAGAAACTCCATGTACAAATCTCTAAATACACGAAACTCCCTGTACAAATCTCTAAATACACTACAAAGATTATTAACATAACATGTAAGTGACGGACACGACTAAGCTTTAATCCTGTATGTGGATTTTTTGTTTCCATTGCATTCTTTTTGTTTGCTTAGTATGAACTCCCAGAGATTGCAAGTATTTGAGGAGACTTCCTTTCACGAGATTTTAGGTCTATCCTATCCCCTTTAAACACCTTCAGTCATGAGAGTTCAATTATGTAACCAATGCCATAAAGTTTTTACGTGCATCTCACACACTATGCTAGTAAAATGAGACAAGCAATTTAAGCTGTTGGTTGCTATGCTCTCTGATTGTTTGCTAACTCAAAAAGTAATAATCTAGATTTATCTGTCCATCAGATGTAGCTTCGACAATTTAGCTATTAGTGATTGTAGTTACACTTTGGAGCACCCACGAAGCTGGAGTTTACCTGTTGGCCATATGAAGTTTTAGGACAGATATAGCCTCATAATCTGACTAGTGATTATTTATTAACTAGAACTAGACCTGATGTAGATCTTGTATGCAAGTTGAAAGTTAAAGTAGACACAATATACCCTAATTCGGCAACAACCAAGATTGTGCATAATATGATATGTTGGTCGTTTCAGCCCATAACGTGATCGACGTGAAATCTAGTTCAATCCATCTCAACTTGGCTTAAAGCATAGTACCAAATTCAACGTTTTGAAAACACTATGTAGACCATCAATTTCTGAAGAACAGAACCCCCAACTCGAGAAAGGGCAAGAAGGAGGACTAAAAGATGTAAAATAGTTTTCAGAACCTTTTAGCCACAAAAACTCACTTTGTAATAAGTAAAAAACCAGCAATAAGCCTAACGACGCACTAAACCATCAACTAACAAAACAATAGAAGACAATATATATGTCATACTCGGGCAAATATTTTGAACATGGTGGAATTCATATGTCGACTAGTGGTAGATTCAATGAAAACATCAATATGCATCGACTGACACTTAGAAAATTTCTGAACAATCCCAAGTATAACAGAAAATATAAAGAGGAATTCATCTCGACTAGTGGTAGATTCAATGAAAACATCAATCACAAGTATAACAGAAAATATACAGAGGAATTCATCTCGACTAGTGGTAGATTCAATGAAAACATCAATATGCATCGATGACACTTAAAATTTCTGAACAATGAAAAGAATAACAGAAAACATATAGAGGAATTCATATCTCGACTAGTGGTAGATTCAATGAAAACATCAATATGCATCGACGACACTTATAAAATTTCTGAATAATCACAAGAATAGCAGAAAACAGAGGAACAAAATCATACAACAGTCAAGGAACAGAGGAGGAATAAACCCAATCATCGCACGTCAATTTAACAGCAGTCGGATATCACAAATGACTCGCATATGCAGAAAAAACTGTACTTTCGCAAATCTCAAATCGCAACAGTTGAAGGCACAAATTTGTACCTGGTAAGCAGATTGTTTTGCCGATAAAGACAAGAAATTGAAGGAGAAGAATGAGTTCTGCAACAATCTTGAAACCTACACGAAAAGAGAAGTGGGAAACGGATAAAACAGAGAATACTAACAACGGCGATAGAGCATAATCGAGCAGCACAATCCAAACTCAACTGTTAATCGCATCTGCTGAGTAAAAAGCGAAGATACCTGGGGAAGAAGAGCAGTTATCTGGGGAAAAAGCTGGCCGGAGACCTATATGTGCGATTTTGTTAATCGCTCGTCTCTTCCGTATCCGTTCAATGAAGGAATAGGTTTTCCTATTATTTTCTCATTGGAGGGAATCGTTCATTCTTGTACAAAAAATTTGGAGGGAAAGATTTATTTTTTGGGCAGGGAGGGAAAGTTAAAATAAAAGAAAAACCTTAGTAATTTTTAATGGCAATTTATTTTTATTGTCGGTAAAAGGATATTTTTTACTGGCTAATGGTCATTTGCCGCTAATATTTCAGCTTATAGAATCTATTAGCGGCAATTGACTTATTGCCGCTAAATAATTGCCGACAAATGCCCTTTTGTAGTAGTGTATAGGCATGATTTCTAGATGGTCGGATCTGGGCAATGAAGCTCTTGAAAAAGCAGGTTTGTTTGTTTAATCCTATAGCCATGCTTTCTAGGTGAGCCATGTAATTGAGAAAGAGGTATCAACGTGAGCAGTTTCAATTACTTGAACGACACCATATAGGCATGATGTCTATATGCAGAAGTAAGGCGGGCTAAGCAAATTAGTACACAAATTCAGTTTGAGTCTTATAGGCATGTTTTCTAAGCACATTATCGGTCCAGAATTTAAAATTAGTTAGGGTCCTAGATCATGTTCTCTAAGTCGACGTGCAAATTGATGTTCTATAAACATGTGATTTATACACAAATAGTTCACATGGATGAAGTATGACAAGCAAGATAACGAAATAAACGTTTGGACCCTATAAGCATGTTTTCTACCCGTTCATGTGATAATTAAAGTACTCCAACTCCCCCCCTCCCCCAACTTTTTTAACTATTTTCCCCATCAGTCCTTACAAATTATTACAGGCCATAGGTAGCTACAGTCCCAATAGGGCTGAAATACAGTGACCACATGCCCAGAGACATAACAACAAACTGCAATGTAAAATCCCAGTACATATGAGCTGACATACAGTGGCCACATGCCCAACAGACTACAATGTAAACCCAAGTGTATTTGGGCATTCCAAATCTCGCAAAACACGATTAGATCCCATAACTAGCACCACAAGCCAACAACAGAAGAAGTACTACACGACTAATTTCAGAGGCAAGCCTTACCAAGCAACATGCTTGATGAACTAAGGTGAACTAGTCATAATTTCCTAGAGGCAGACCTCCTAAGTGCTTTGAGCAAATGTACGTTGTGACAAAAATTAATTGATACAATGCAAAGAAGGAGAATTTTATACCACACAATACAAACTAATAGATAAAAACATATATTTTATTTCCCATTACTCCTGGTATTAGCTTAAATGAACATTGAGTGAATTCAGCTTGTTTTAAAAGTCAATACCAGGTTATTGTCAGCACACAAGAAGAAGACAGAATTCAGAAGGCCTAAATACACACCAATACCTCTAACTCCCAGTTCCACTAATGATTCAATGATAGTAGGAGCAAACAGTCAATACATCATAGCATAGAACACAAGCATGATTCTATAGTTTATTGTAACCATCCGGCCGGTCGTTTTGAGAGTAATAGCCCCAATCCCCTATTAAATACTTTTCCCATATCTATTTTCTGCTATTGTGACTTGCTGGGAAGTTTTATTTTGGTTTTTTGAATGTTTTGGTACACTTAGTCCCTAAATGGGAGCTTAAGTTTAAAAATTTAGATTGTACTCGGAACGGTGTGAAGACGGTTCCGGAATGGAATTCCGTCAACTCCGTTACCTCCTTTGGGTGATTTTAAATTTAGGAGCGTGTCCGAATTATGTTTTGGAGGTCAGTAGTTCAATTAGGCTTAAAATGGCGAAAGTCGAATTTTTGGAGTTTTGGACTGGTAGTGGATTTTTTTATATCAGATTCCCATTTTAAAAGTTGGAGTAGGTCCGTAATGGCGATTTTAACATGTGTGCAAAATTTGGGGTCAATCAGATGTGGTTTAGTTGGTTTCGGCATCGGTTGTCGAATTTGGAAGTTTCAAGTTCTTTAAGTTTGAATTGGAGGATGATTCGTGATTTTAGCGTTGTTTGATATGATTTGAGGGTTCGACTAAATTCGTATGATATTTTAGGATTGGTTGGTATATTTGGTTGGGTTCTCGGGAGCCTCGGATGAGTTTTGAGTGAGTACGGGCTTTTCCGCACTCTAATGTTGTTCTGGGGGTCTTTGGAAGTGCGGACCGCACATTTTGGGAGTGCTGAGGCAAAAGGGAAGTGCGGACCTTAGGGGAATTGTGTGTACCACACAATTTTGTGTGCGGCCGCACTTCAGTCTGCAAAGGAGTGTGTGTGCCGCACAATTTTGTGTGCGGCCACACTCAAGAACTCTCAAATTCGATGGTCCGATATCGGAAGCTTATATCTTTTGATCTACAAGGAATTTGGAGATGATTTAAAAACGAAAGTTGTAGCCCTTCGTGTCTAGTTTCCAGAAAGTTATGGCCAAAATACTAAATTCTGACAGTGTAGTCACCAAGAGAGTGCGGCCGCATGAGCTGGGATGTGTGGCCGCACTTGGAATTGTGCGGACCGCACATGGTAAGTTCAAAGAATGTACTATATAACCAAGGCTTAGGTTATTATTTTATTTTTGGACCTTGGGAGCTCGGTTTGAGACGATTCTTTGTGGGTTTTTCAAGAAATTCATCGGGGTAAGTGATTCTAACTCGGATTTGGTTAATATACATGAATATATCACTAATTTTATCATTTAATTAGTACTTTGAGATGGAAATTTGGAAAAGAATTGTAGAAACTTCATAAACCACAAATTGAGGATTTGAAGGTCGAGTTATGATCGGAATTGGCTAATTTTGGTATGGTTGGACTCGTGAGTAATGGGTGTTCATATTTAGTGACTTTTACCCAATTCCGAGACGTGGGCCCGGTGAGACTTTTTGGGGTAATTTTTTAATTTCTTGCTTTAGCTTTGATTTCATTAGCTAGATTAGTTTCTTGTAGCTATATTTACGTTATGTAATTGATTTGGCTAGATTTGGGCCACTCGGAGCCGGATATTTGTGGGAAAGGCATTGTGATTGATTGATTGATTGAGCTTGGTTCGAGGTAAGTGGCTTGCCTAACCTTGTGTGGGAAAACTCCCCTTTGGATTTGGTACTGCTTTTGATATATGAGGGCCGTGTACATGAGGTGACGAGTGCGTACACGAGCTATTATTGCAAAACTCCGTTTTCATTAAGTAAAATACCAGTTTTCCTTTAATTGAGCTACACTAGCATATGAATTTATCCTATTTAGTCTAGAACAACATGTCTACATATCTTAATTGCTTATGTGAACTCTGTGCAATATGCTTAGTGAATTTCCTGCTTCTTCCTTGACTGATACTTAGTCTAAATCGTAAGATTTCGTGATGTAGTTGTAATTCTATTGTTTGCGTTGCATATTTACTTTGGGACTACGGAATGGCATTTCGGTAGACCCCCCTACTCTGCATATTTACTTTGGGGCTACGGAACGGTATTTCGGTAGATCCCCATGTTCTGTATATTTACTTTGGGACTACGGAACGGTATTTCGGTAGATCCCCATGTTCTGTATATTTACTTTGGGACTACGGAACGGTATTCTAGTAGATCCCCCTACTCTGCATATTTACTTTGGGACTACGGTTGACCCAGAAGGGTGATCCGTTCAGGTGGACAGAGGAATGTGAGAAGAGCTTTCAGAATCTCAAGACAGCTTTGACTACATCCCCAGTATTGGTATTGTCTACAGGTTCGGGGTCTTATACTGTATATTATAATGCATAGCGGATTGGTCTAGGCACAGTGTTGATGTAGGACGGTAGGATGATTGCCTACGCGTCCAGATAACTGAAGGTGCACGAAAAGAACTATCCTGTCCACGACCTTAAGTTAGCAACTATTGTTCATGCCTTGAAGATTTGGAGGCATTATTTGTACGGTGTTCCTTGTGAAATTTACACCGGTCACCGAAGTTTGCAGCATCTGTTCAAGCAGAAGGATCTTAATTTGCGTCAGAGAAGGTGGTTGGAGCTGCTTAACGATTATGATATCACCATTTTGTACAACCCTGGGAAGGCCAATATGATGGCCGATGCTTTGAGTCGCCGGGCAGAGAGTTTGGTAGCTTAGCATATCTACCAGCAGCAGAGTGACCAAGTCAGCTCATTTCATTCCTGTGATGACTACTTATTCCTCCGAGCAGCTGGTTCGAGTTTATATCCGCGAGATTGTCACGCTTCATGGCATGCCTGTATCTATCATCTCTGATCGGGTACGCAGTTTACATCACGGTTCTGGAGGGACGTACAACATGAGTTGGGTACTCGAGTGGAGTTGAGCATAACATTTCACCCTCAGACGGACGGATAGTCCGAGCGCACTATTCAGATTCTTGAGGATATTCTCTGTGCGTGTGTGATGGAGTTTGGAGGTTCTTGGGATCAGTTCCTGCCCCTTGCGGAGTTTGCCTACGACAATAGTTATCAGTCCAGCATTCAGATGTCACCGTATGAAGCTCTGCATGGTAGGCGGTGTCAGTCCCCAGTGGGTTGGTTCGAGCCGAGCAAGGCTAGGTTATTGGGCACAGACTTGGCACATGACACTTTGGAGAAGGTTAAGGTGATTCAGGATAGACTTCGCACAACCCAGTCCAGACAGAAGAGTTATGCGGATCGGAAGGTTCGCGATGTGGCATTCATGGTTGGAGAGAGAGTCTTGCTCTGGGTTTTGCCTATGAAGGGCGTTATGAGGTTTGGAAAGAAGGGAAAGCTAAGCCCAAGGTTCATTGGTCCATTTGAGGTGTTGCGGCGTGTTGGGGAGGTTGCTTATGAGCTTGCCTTACCTCCCAGCCTAGCAGCAGTTCATCCGGTATTTCATGTTTGGATGCTCCGGAGGTATCACGGCGATCTGTCTCATGTGTTGGATTTCAGTTCAGTCCAATTGGACAAGGATCTATCTTATGTTGAGGAGCCAATGGCAATTTTAAACAGGCGGGTCAGAAAGTTAAGGTCAAAGAATATTGCTTCCATGAAGGTTCAGGGGAGGGGACAACCGGTCGAGGAGGCGACTTGTGAGACTGAGCAGGATATGCGCAGCCGTTATCCTCATCTTTTCACCACTTCAGGTATGTCT